GAGCCACGTGGAGGGGACCCTGGGATCTGCTCAGCCAAGGCAGTCCAGGCGTGCGCTGGCTGGAAACCCGCCCTAAGAAAGTCGCTGCAGAAGCTCCAAGCATAAAATAGACGAGGGCAAGCCACTATCTGGGGCCGGTGGAGGGGGGGGGGGTAGGGGCAGCACTCTGGCCTCTCGCTGCCTCCCGATACCACACCCTCATCCTAGACCTTCCTAGAGCTCCGATGGGAAAGTAGCAATTCAGTGTCCTCATGTTGTTACACAGGAAAGGCTCAGAGAGGGCAAGCAACCTGCTCAGGCGCACTCGGCGAGTTTGGACAGGGCTCTGTATGCGTGTGCAGCGCTCTGTCCGCCGCAGGAGAGCCATCGTCCGTTTGTCAGCTGGGCTCTCAGGTCTGACGCCTGCGTCCGTGAGCCTGTGTCCTGAGCCCTTCTACCTCGGGGAGCCCAGGAGACTAGCCAGGGGGCTAGCAGGGAGACCCAGCTTCCCCTAAGACCAGGATCTTATAGAGTCTAAACCATTTTATGGTCATTTCAGGATATGATAGGAAGAAGCCAGCTTTGGGGCGAGCTGGTGCTAGGGAAAGTTCCAGTTTTACCCCTTATTAAGCCGCTGAACTTCTTTCCGTTGTCTCTGATTTAGAGACAGACATAGCCGTCTCTGCCTTGCTGAGTTCTCCGGAGTTGGGATTAGAAGGCAGGTGTTACAGGGTGAGCACGCGACAGGGGTCTCCGAGGCTCGTCCCTGCACAGACAGGCCATGTGACCAGGGACGTGCCTTCCCTGCCCAGGCCCGGCGGGGGTCTGGGAAGCAGCGTCTGGCTTTATTTGCTCATTGAAATCAAAAGTAACAGTCCCCCCAGTTCTTTCTTTTCTAGATCAGCCTTTCCTGCACAGGGGTCCCCCCCAAGACACAGGGCTGGTGGGATACGGTGCTACCATGTCTGTGACTCTGTTGGACCCGGAACCCATTTCCTGCCCAAAACCAGGCTGCCCATGGGTTTAGACCCCCGGCCAGGCCCCGGACGCCCCCAGCGCCTGCAAGCCGGCTGACGCCATCAACGTTCGCAACGGAAAAGCAGCCGTCAAGACAACTATTTCGATATTAGGTGACACAGATGCCCCGTTTCGCAGCGTGGGGAAACAGGTCAAAGTGGGCTTTTTCCTTTCGTTTCAAACGTGGACCCTAGAAAAATGCAGGCTTCGTTCGAGGGGGGGTGGGCGGGGAGTCGCGGGCGGTGCCGACGGCGGTCTGACGTCAGGGCCCGGGGACTGTCGAGTCAGCGGTCGCTTTGCCGCGTCACGTTTCCCTGCCAGACTCGGTGTCGCTTCGTGTCCACACGCGCGAACCGCCAGTGTGGCTCCCACATGCGTCGCACGAGATAGAAATCCACAGTATCTTCTGCCTCCTGACAGCCTCTGCGTGCACTGAGCCTACTCTGCGTGTACGCCTGCTCAGGGTCCCCGCCCCTCACTCACCCACCCACCCCCTTTTCAGCTCCCCTTTCTCTCCCCCCCCCGCTCAGAACACACGCATGGCCCTCAAAGAGGACAGTCATTTCCGCAAGTGTCCGTGTCTCTGTTTGATGAGTGACGGGGCGCTGCGAGGACAGAGACCTCAGATGCAGTTTGGGTCCCGGCCGGAACACGGCGGGTGTTCCTTAAGGAGACGAGCCGCGGCAGATGGAAGCGGAAGGGTCAGGGTGCCCGGGAGAGACCTGTCGCTCTCACTGTGCCTTGTGAATAGCAGGAAGCCGAGGTCAGAGCATTTATGTAACTTGTCTGGGGTCACCCAGCTGGTAAGAGGAGGAGCCAGGATCGGAGCCCGGCCGGCCCTTAACTGCTACACTGTCGGGCACAGGGATTGGATGGAGGATGGCAGAAAGCCGTCTCTGTCCTTTATTGTGACAAGCTCGCGTTGCTGCTTCTCTGCGTGCTAGAGGGCCAGGTACACGATAGGTATCCAGTGGATGGGCCCGTCTGTGTATTGACTCAGCAGTAAATCGAGAACTGGGTCCTGACACTTCGGGTGCTTGGAATTTGTATTCGGAGGATGTGAGTTTTAAACCAGTTGTGCATGTGACTTGGAGGGCCACGTGGGGAGAAGAAGGGGGAACTGGCACCTCTGTAAATCAGGAGGGAGTGTGGCCACCTCCCAGGGTTAGGGTGGCCATTAACATTTAACAGACTTGACTGACTCCACCGGGGCCCCTCTGACCTCTGTTTCGGGGCCGGCTTGCTCCCTACGTAGCACACACCCCCACTCGTCATCGTGTATCCATTTCTCGAAGTGTTTGCAGCCCCCAGGCTGTAAACTCCCTGAGCACCCAGTCCGTGCTGTTACAGTCCTCAGTGAAGAACCACGACCGAGCAGGTGCCCGGCACATAGCATGTGCTCACTTAGTGCAGTGGCACACCTTCGGTGGCTGGAGGTGTCGTCTGTACAGAGCCTGGACCGGGCTGGGCTCTCAGGGGCGGCCTGTCCCTCTCAAGGTGGTCATTCCCCCCACCCCCGCCCGGGACAGTCGGGAGGACAGCCCCCACTTCCTTCTGAAGTCCCGGGAGTCTCCCAGCTCCTCCCGCACCCCTCTGCGACCTGAGTCCTCCTCCGGCCACGGCCTCAGCTGCCTGGAAGGTGCTGAGCGGGGAACTGGGACTGCGCCAAGCTGTTTGACAACAGAAGTGAGTCGCTGAGCCCTTGAGGCCCCAGGTTCTGTCTGTAGCCGAGTTACTGTAACGAAACGAGCCCCCTCCCCTGGCGGTGCTCAGATGGGAGGAAGTGGTTTGGACCCAGAGTGCTATTTCCTTAGGAGAGAGTCAGTCACATGGCGTGGGCTCCATGCATATTTATTAGTGGAAGGGATGGACAGATGAGGGGATGGGTGGCTGGACGAAAGTCCTGCCAGGGCCCTCAGGTTGCTGACGAGAGCCAAATGGTCTGTCTCGACGTGCTGGGAATTTTTAATGAGGTTTTTAAGCTCCAGCCTCTCTCAGAGCTGGGGGACATAAATGCTTGCTGAATGTCAAATGAAAAATTAAAATCAAGCAGCATTTATGAGTGCAGGAAGCCGGCTGGGGTTTACCAGAATGAATAATTTCTAAGTCTTTAAGAAGTACACTCCCCTTGAACTACATTGCCCGCTCTCTAAACTCAGAGCGGGGAAATTTTTTTCTGTATTAGGAAAATGATTTTGGTTTGCTGCAGTGCAGACCCGGGAAGGTCATTGACTGTGTCAGACCGGGGAGCACGCAGAAGCAAGCACCCGGGAGCATGGAGGAGGGGGCCGCGCCGTGTTTCCCGCTGCAGTGACACAGCCCAGGAGCGCCCGAGCCAGTTGATGTCCTCCCATCGTCTGGGCTTAGATTGATATTAATAGCCATGGTTCAGTATTTAGCGTCTCCGACATGTGGAACATAATTTAATCTTGTTACAGACACATGAGGAAGCTGGCCGCCTTTTTAAGAAAAGGAAACTACGCTCAGAGAGGCAAAGTGACTTGCCCACAGTCGCACAGCGCGTTGGCGGCTGGCCCAGAACGTTGGCTAGGGGGCGGCCGACTGAGTCAGAGACTTTCCGTCTCTGAGACTTTCAGTCAGAGCAGCCGTCCGACTGCTCTTCTTCCACATCTGTTTCAGGTGCTGCAGTCTAGATCAGATTTCAGTCTGTCCGTCCCACGGGTGTTTAGTGTTAGTAGCAGTGTGCTGGTCAGAACATATTAAGTGCTCTTGAATAGCATTCTCCTACCTAGAGAGTATCCGTTGCAAAAGATTTTGCAAGAACTTTGATTTGGTCTTAACCTCCCCAATTTTAAAAGGACCACAGCCCAGTTTAGAGACTTGCGGCTCAGCATCTCAGAGCAAACCACAGAGTGACAATTCGCAGAATACGGCGTGTTGCTCCCCACACGAAGAGCACTGCTTTACATGCACAGTCCGGCCCTTCACATCCTCACTCTCACGGAGGCTCTCTCCACCCCCACCTCCGCCCTCGGAGCCCGTCCCTGCTGTGGGACTCGGCCGAACCACCTAACCTCTCTGAGTTTCGTTTTCTTATTTGTCAAAAGCAAATAATGATTGCAGTCTTACAGAATTGTCCTGAGGGCTGTAGGAAAATAGCTTTTCATGCAACGCGCCTCCCCCAGCCACTTGGCGTGGGAGACATTGTCCCTTCCCTTTGGCGTACGTGACCCCAAATCAGGACATTCTGAGCCCAGAGCCATGGTCATTTCCCTGACACACCAGGACTTCTGGACACCTAGGAACCTTAGAGAATGGGGAGTGTGCCATGTCCCTGAGAGAAACCTACTCCCCCACATCCTCAGTGATCCTACCTGCCCCGTGCATGCGCACACTGCATCCTCTGGTGTTTACTGCTCGTTATATCAGCCGTGGCTGGCGTTTTCCCGAAGAAGGCTCACGCCGCCAAACTCCCACAAGCACCGCGAGGAGCGTTCAGCCTGTCTGGGCACTGTGCACCTTTAGACACCAGCACTCCTTACGAATAGAATTTATCAATCGCCTTCTTTGCGTCTGAGACTGGCGGGCACTTTGCATATCTTAGCACATACCATCCACCCACTACCTGTGTGGATGGAAATCCCATTGCTGTCACTTCACAGAGGAGCAAATAAAGGCCTGGAGAGCTTAGGCTGGCTTGCCCAAGGCCACACGGCCAGAAGTCTGACCGCAAGCAGCAGCCGTCCCTAGTAAGAAGCCCGCTGTGTGCCAGGCTGTTCTGCAGGCTCAGAGGCTCCCCGGGCAGGACCGTGCCGGCCCCAGCTCCCCAGCCCTCCGGGTCGTATAATTGTGCACTAAACGCCCACCGAGCAGCTGGGATGTGCTGCGCCCTGAGTGAGGCACTGGGCCTCCCCGCAGACGGTGCCCTGCCCGTTCTCACCGAGAGCTTCTCTGTCTCCCAGACGTCACCCCCCTGCCCGCTGTGTATCTAAGGGCTCCTGACATCTCTCCCCGCCCGGCCCCTGCCACATCCCCCAAGATACCTTCACAGGCTGGACATGGTCTCCCCTGGGAGTAGCCGACGAGGGGGTGCCAGGGTCGCCGTCAGCGCCTCTGCATCAGCTGCGGTGGGTCCGGCGGAGTGGGCGGGCAGCCGGGCCTCCCAGGGGCGTAGGCAAGCCCATGCTATCGGGACGAGCAGCAGTTGCCACACACGCCGCTCGCTTCCTCTGTGAGAAACGAGGAAGGCGCGGGCCTCGCAGAGGGGCAGGTTCCTGTTTTCAGTAACCGCGCTGAGCAGCCTTCCCCCTGCAGGGACAGGGGCGAGCGCGGCTTTAGGGAGCTCTCCGCAAGGCACCGGGAGCGCAGGCAGCTGGGCCCTGAGGGGGCAGGCCGCGTTCCGGCTTTCCGAGCCTGGGACGTTCTCGTCTCGCTTTAAAAGGCCGAGGAGGCCGAGGGGCTGTGCTCACGGCCCCTGGAACTCACGGGGTCCAAGGAGCAGCAGCTTCTCTTTTCTGGGTTTCCCAATGATTTCTGCTTCCTTATGTTGCTGCCACGTCAACCCCGGAGCCGAGCTCCTGGCCCTGCTCTGCCGTGGACTAGGTTTTAATTGGCAGAGGCTTAAAATAGTGGCATCAAAGCCCCTCTACAGAAGGGAGCTGCCCACCAGCCTCCCAGGACGAGGCACACGGCCCCTGGCTCTGCTCCGCCAGGAGAAACTGGGAAAGGGATGAAAAACAGCTTGGAGATTAAAGTTGACTCAGAAAACACGGCGACCAAACACAACGCGTGACCCGGGGAGAAGGACCAGGAAGAATATTACTGGGACGGTGGGGCGCGTTCCCATGTACAGACCGCGTGTTCGGTCATAGTGTGTCAACACCACTTTCCTCGGGTGTGATAATGACATTGTCACTATGTGGGAGAACCTGCTAGTTTTAGGAGGTACGTGCTGATGCCTTTGGAGGTCGGGTGTCAGAATGTCTAAACAGTGCACCCAAAGAAAAATATAAACTATACGTTTAAATAAAGAGAAAGAGAACCTGAGACGGAAAGCAGATGCGGCACGATAACACTGGAGGAATCGAGGTGAGGGGCTTATGTGCCTTGTAGCATTTCAGCTTTCTGAGGGGGTTAAATCTTTCACAACTGATAACATACAGCTCCCTGTTCACAACATGCCGGTCTCACGCAGGAAACCCTGGCCCCTGGGGCCTGCGGGGTTGACAGCGGCACAGGCAGAAGCTGCCGAATGTTCGCTCCGGGCCTGGGAGTGGTCTGCTGGAGCCGGGAATGCTGGGGCTGCTTCTCGGGGCCCTGGACGACGCCCCAGCTCGCAGAGATGATGGAGCAGGGCGTCCAGTGACTTGCCAGAATCACACACAGCTGGTCCCAGAGCAGAACCTGGGCCTGAGTCTCTCTGGCCACTGCTGGGAAGCCCAACCCAGCAGGGCCGCCACGGCCACCGGGGGACAGTCATTTAGAAACCTCTCTCGGTGTAGTGATCGAAGATGAATTGAAAACATCGGGGCCTCGTCTAAATTTAGAAGGAACTCTGTACGAGGTAGATGCTTCCTTAGACGACGTGTGAAAATGCCCGCAGGGCCCACGGCACCCTGGGAACGGACAGAGGAAACGTTGCAGCAGACCAAGCGGGCGACGTGCTGGCAAGGGCAAGAGCAGAAAGGCAGAAACGTGCGCCGGTGGAGTTTCTCCCCAACATCCACACACAGAGGCGCAAAGGGGGTTTGGGCCCATAGTCAAAAGGTGTGACTTCTGGGGCAACTTTTCAAAACAGCATCTCCTGAGAGTCTCCGAACTCATTCCCCCGTTTAATCACTTGTTCCGTGAAACGTCCCGGGGCCAGTCCCAGGCCCCAGAATCCGGATGTGCACAAAAACCCTGTGCCGACGGAGCCTCCTCTCTCTCGGGGGGCCATGAGTTACAGAGGGAACCACAGCAGCTACCAGTCACAGCGACAGCTGGAAGGAGAGGAAACGGTCACTGTGACAGAGCAGAGGGGCCCAAGGTGCTCCTTCCCAGCACCGATCGGTGGCGGGGGAGGGGCCGCCCACGGGGTTGCCTCAGCTGAGACCGGTAGGAGCTCCTCGGCAGGGGCCAGGGCGTGAGGGGCTCGTGCGGAAAGAGCGGCGGGGTTAACTCAGGCTCTGGGGGTTGCGGGGAAGACCTGTGGGCCCTGAAAAGGTGCTAAGTCTGAGGGCGGACAGGCAGGGACCACAGTGGGCTATTCATCCGAGGACGCGTTCCGGCAGGAGCAGCTGCTGCTGCAGAGGAGAAGCTCCGAATGCGGAACCCCAGGGGCCAGGGTTGCCGTACCCACGCTGCCCCTTTTTACTGGGGGACTGGGTGACCCGGGGTGCCGCCGCTAATGTCCCCTGGCCTGGATGTTTCATCACGTCCCTTTTCAGTCTTGGGGACACTGACGGGAATCAGAGTAAGTTCTAGACAAAGTTCTAAAACGGCCCGTGCAGGAGGACGGTGTGGAGGTTGGGGCCCACAGGTATGCCCCCCTGCAGTGGGGTGCTCAAGTGGGAGTCTGGCGTCCACCCTGGCCCAGCCACGCGTCAAGAGGCTACACGTCCGAGCTCACGAAGACACGCGGGCCCATCGGCGCAGAAAGCGCCTCATTTCCAGGGGCTCTGTCAGTTCATTGGCTGCCAAGGCCGGGCTAAAGGCCACGGGCAGGCCAGCGAGACTCCCCTGAGCGTTGAAGATTAATCAATTGAGTCCGAGGCTTGGGTCCTCAGATTACAGAAATGAGATATTCCGCTGGGTAAACAACTAGCTGTGCACACTCAGGTAGCCGGGAGCCAGGTGTCCCGTTCCCCAGCTGGGGCTATGGCAGGTGTCCTCACCCCAGCGAACGGAGCCCGTTCCGCCAGCTGCCGGTCTCAGGGCGCCGCGGCATCGTCCTGTGGCAGGGAGGCAGTGAGTAAGCCCTGCAGTGCACAGCGCGGTCCAGCGTGACCGGAGCCCCAGCTGTACTCCACGTACCTTTTCTTCTTTCTACATAAACGTGCGAAAGGTTGGAAGATGAAAAAGGAAACCTCGAGAATGAGTAAACTCCTCCTCAAAGGAGAGAATCGGGGGTAAGTTAGTTCACTCAGGAGGGCAGTGCAACGCACGTGGACTGAATGCAGGGCGTTCTCGGTGCCGTAGAACGGCTGGTGGGATTCTTGTGTCCAGCGAGGGCTTAGCGCATGCCACCGTCAAGTTCCCGGGCCAGCCAGAAGTTGTCTGAGAGCCAAGTCCGTGCCCCTTCTCTGGCTGGATCAGTACTGACCCATCCATCCATCTATTCATTCATCCATCCATCCATCCATCCATCCATCCATTCAACAAGTGTCTGTGCAGCACCTGCTGTGTGTCGGGCACTGCTACAGGGCCAGGGTTAGGGAAACAGGCAGGCAGTGGTACAGAAGGCTGCTGGGGGAACAGGGACAGTAAGGGGAACTGTCACCCGGGAAGAGAGTTTTGTGTGGAGCCCGAAGTGACACCCATGAGAAGATGAGGAGGAAGAAGGACCCGGTAAAGCAAATGTCAGACGCCAGGGTTCAGGGCTGCCGATGCTCGGCGCATCGAAGGGAAGAAAAAGGGGAAGGGAGCTCACCCCTGGGGAGCCAGGAAAGGAACTCGGCTGTTGCTTACGGTACCTCCTCACTCTGCCCAGTTACTCTGTGTGTCTGGACGTCGCCCGAAGAAACCGAGGCTCCTGGGGTTTCACTTAGTTGCTCCAGGTCACCCAGCGGATGAGTGACACCCCAAGGGTCTAGCTCAGTAGCCCCTGGGGTGAGCTCACTGTCACTGCTGTGCTGGCCTGCTTGGGGCCCTCCCACGGCGACCCTCCTCCGTCCCAGCCCGGTTTCCCCAGACAAGATAGGTGCTGCCCCCACCTTCCTGCAGCGCCTGCCGCACACTTCCGTTTGCCCCGTGACCGACTCCATCCCTTTGCCTGGCATTCGACGCTCATAACGGCTGTTCCGCACCGTCCTCCCATGACAGTGCCCCCACACCAGGCCTCCACGCCCCACACCCCACACCCCACAGGGACTTTTGTGTCCCTGGGCACCCAGACAGCCTCCCACCTGTTCACCATTGACTTTGCCACCGCCTAGCCCCTACCTGTGCGGAATGCCCCCCTTCCTGCAGGTCCCAATCCCGAGCTCACCTTGTCCACATGTACCCCCAGACCTCCCCCAACCAAAGGTGGCTGCCCCCCACTCAGAATACCCCTGGCGGTTTTACCCGCCCCACAGGGACAGGACACATGTCTACTGGAGTCGAGAATAGGAGGGGGCATTTTGGGGAGCTGTGTGACCTTGCAAAGTTTTTTTAATCTCTCCGGGGCTACTCCTGTTTCCTTCCCAGGTCTTCAGGGTCCATGGAGGAATGCCTATAGATGAGCCAGCCTAGTGCAGGGCACGTAGTGGGGGTCCCCTGGTTATGGACGCCTCCCTTTCCTTTCAATGTGGACCGTAAGCAGGACACACTTAACACACAACTGCTGAGCCTTGCCCCAAAGAGATGATCCGTAATCATCCATTAAATGAATGAATGAATGAGCGAGATCGGGCTGCCTTCTAAGCCAGAGCATGTGCTTTGCGACTGTGGGCCTCCCCCTCTGGGGAAGGGGATGAGCCAACCCTGAAAATCAGCTGGGAGAGGTCAGACGCCATGGCTCCTCTGGAGGCGGGAGTTCGTGTTTCCAGCGTCGGATGAGTGAGTGGGCGGGTGGTCCATCTGGCTGAGCTGAAGGCTCCCAGCTGGAGCGGAACTTCAGTGTTTGTGACATCAGCACCTTTCTGCATACCTCTGTGGGGGCCGCTGGGCACTGAGCGTTCTCCGGAAAAAGAAAAGTAGAAGCTCCACTTCCACTGTCCGTGTCGCCGAGAGGAGTTGCACAAGCCCGCTGACTCACTGGAACTGGTCTTTTCTTTCGGTCTTGCCCAGCCCAGCCCCGCTGCGTCCACCTGGGCGGGGGGGGTGGGGGGGGGTGCGCGCTGCTCCTCCTCCACTGCGGGCGGGTTGAGAGGCAGGTCAGAGAACTTCCCAGAGCTTGGGGCGGCCTCCAAGCAGGGTCCTGTTTCGGTCTCTGCATCTTTGCTGTTTTGCTTTTCTTGCTAACTTCCTCTAGTACGCTGATATACACACTCATTTATTTAGGATGCCTAGCTCAGGCATTGCCTTATTTCAACCAATACTAGAGTAAACGAATGTTAGCCTCAGGCCAGCCAGGAGGCCGAGCTCTAGGATGACAAGGGTGAGTGTGACGGCGCCCTGCCATCAGGACTCCGTGAACGGGCCCAGGGATGAGCCACAGTGGCAGGCAGTGTGGCGGGGCTTCCAGGGAGGAGGGAACACAAAGGAAATTCTCTGTGTTGCAGCGGCCCCGAGGCCTGATGGAGGGATGGTGTTCAGCTCGACCTTGAA